ATTTAATAATTTTATAAATTTAGCTTATAAATTATTATAAATAACTCCCATCAGCAATCACAGCATCTCCCACCACCTCCACTCCCCTCCTGGATAAACCAGGACTAATTTAATAATAAGTTACAATAAACACATTGTAAATCCCCCACTCCACCTTCCAGCTCCCCAGCCGTATTTTTTTTCTCCTTGCCCTTTTACCACAGGGCACCACGGGAAGGGTCAGGGTGAGTTTTATCTGGGGATGATGGAGAAGGGCCCCAAATTAGAGATAAAGACCACTGGGGCCGGCCCCAACTGCTATCGGCTCCATGCACAGGGCTGATATTTCATGTGCCGATATCCATGGGGAGAGCACGGCCCTGGGATGGTGCAGCTGGGCTGATAGTGGAGAGGGTTGATTTGTGCTCAGAAAAGTCCATTTTCCTCCAAAACGGACCCCTGTTTTGGAGACTATTGGAATTTAATACTGGGTCCCAACAGCATCACCCAAGGGGTGTGAAAAATGACCTGTTGGATAACGTGACCTTTGAGGACCAGCGGCATTGCCTGGCCACCAAAACCTCCTTTGCCCTCGCTTGGCATTCCCAATCCCCAGGGAACAAGCTAGGGAGCAGCCGAGGTCGTTGGTAAAGCAAACATTAGTACATACCAGGGAAAAATTGGGTGAGAAGAGGCGGGCTGGTGTCCCATCAGATACTGGAGGGTTTGGATTTGCAGCCCGGGTTGTTCCCTGGGTGTTGCTCGCTCCGGGCAGACACGGCACAATCTTGCTCCGAGACCCTGGGGAATCCCCTGGCTGTGCCAGGTCCCACCAAATCACCAGAGAGGGTTTTGCAAGGATCAGGAGTGGCTGCGACTTGTCTCCAAGAGTGTCTTTCCCTGAGTAATTCTAGCCCTGTGCCTGTTCCTGCAGCCCTTTCTCTTGGCTACAAAATTTGGGGGAAAATACAGTGATTTAGGGGAAGCAAGGAAGCGATGCCTGAATGGAATTCCCACATTTCCCTCATGAGGTGAGGGATGAGCATCATGGTGATGCCTTGGGCACCCCAGAATCTAGTTTGGAGCCTCACCCACATGCTTTTGCGTTGATTTTTGTTATTGTTATTATTATTACTATTATTATTATTGTGGTTTTATAATTGAAAGAGGGATTCAGTGCCAGCACAGGGATGAGGAGGAGCTGGGAGGATGAATAAGGGATCCTCCATCCTGCTGCCTTTCTGATGGAGCTGGGGACATCCCCCAGGATCCCCTGGCACAACTGGGGACATCCCCTGGGTCCCCCCAGTGCTGTGGGGTGACACCCCAGAGCCAAGACTGAGCTTTGAGGTGCCTGAGAGGAGTTTTGGGATGTGAGACTGCCCGGCTCCAGGCTCTGTCCTCACTCCCTGACTCCTGGAACCTTCCTTGGACTCACCCTCTGCCCAAGGGGGACTTGGGGGACTTTTTATGTTTAAAAAAGAGAATCATGGAATTGTTTGGGTTGAAAGGACCTTAAAGCTTATCTTATTCCACCCCCCTACCACAGGCAGGGACACCTTCCAGTAGGTTGCTCTAAACCCTGTCCAACCTGGCCTTGAACACTTCCAGGGATGGGAATTGGGATAAGTTGGATGAAAATTTTTATTTAAGTATGTATTTAAAAGTAAAAATTGGGAGTTGGATGGGAGTGACAGCAAAGGTAGGTTTGTCCTCAGCCTGCACGTGTTCTTGATCCAGGACCTGCTTCCCACCATGGGAATTCTTCCTCCTCCTCTTCCTTCTCCTCCTCCTTTTTCTCCTCCTCCTCCTCCTCCTCTCTCTCCCTGCTCCAGAGCCGGTGGGAAAGTCTGTGGCTGTTGCTATTTTCTATCTGTTATCAAGGCCTCTTATCACTTTGCTCTTGTCTGCATGCCGGCTCTTGGAGCGCCCAGGGTCTTGCTCTTGGCAGCCTGGAAAAGTCTCCCCTCCTTCTTGATTCTCTATATTATTTTTCCTTTTATTTAATTTACCAGCTAAACGCAAGGAATCAAGAAAAGCTTTATTGTTCCTGTGCTGGGAGAACCTTAATTGGAGTGAAATGATCAAATCATTACCTGGATAACGATGGGTTTCCCTGGGAATGCAGACCCTCATCCCCAGCCTTGGTGACATGGGCACATTGCCTCGGCTTCCTGCAGGTTTTTAGTCGCTGCAATTTTTTTATTTTTTTTTTTTGAAGAAAAAAAGAGAAATCCTTCGTTGTTATCAATAAAAAAAAAGCAGGAGAAGGAGGGAGGGAGAAGAGTTAATCGTCGAAGCAGAGTATCTTGGAAGGGAGCGTTTTTTGGCTCTTCCCCTCTCTGTAAAACCAGCCTCAGTAATTCAGTTTTAAAGCATGAAAAAAGGGAGTTGATGAAATTCCACTATCAGCACTGAACCAATATGCAAAATATCTCGCCGAAAATCAAATAGCTATTATGTTTTCATTTCCATTTCAGCGTATTTGCTTAATGAAGAATAGACAGATCAGGCAAGCCGAGGGAGGCTGTGTGCGGTGATAACTGTGCAGGGCTTCCAGCAATCCCGGAGAAGTGACGCTCTGCTCCCTACTCCGCGCTCCCTCTCCCTCACTTGCTTTTTTTTTTTGCCTTTTTTCCTCCTTTTTTTTTTGAGTCATCCAGTAGTTCGTTTAACCCACGCGGCCCAGAGCGCCGGCAATGCATCCCTGGGGATTGGGTGGGTGTGCTGGGAGTGGGATGTGCAGTGGGACAGGCTGGGTGCTGGGATGCATCCAGGGACCACGGTGACATGGTGCTGGGATGCTGTTGGCTGCCTATCATCCCTGTAGGCACTGGGTGACACCACAGTGCCCAAAGCTCAGGTTTTACATGGTTGGATTTACGTGGAGCATCCCCAGCTCCCTCCTGGTTGGGAATTGGTGTTTCGGGGTGGAATGTGTAATATATCCAGGGACCACAGTAACGTGGTACTGGGATGTGGGATACATCATCCCTGTAGTCACCGGGTGACACTATGGTATTCAAACCTCTGTCGGATTTCTGTGGAGCATCCCCAGTTCTCTCTTGTTTGAGGGTCAGTGTTTTGGGATGGGATGCAGGACGCATCCAGGGACCTGGTGACATGATTCCAGGATGCTGTTGGCTAGCCATCATCCCTCTAGGCACTGGGTGATACCACAGTGCCCTAATTCCAGTTGCTTTTGTGTGGAGCATCCCCATCTCTCTTGTTTGGGGATGGACCTTTTGGGGTGGGATGTGGGATGTGTCCAGAGACCACAGTGCCATGGTGCTGGGATTTTTTGGCTCTCCATCACTTCTGTAGGCACTTGGTGATGCCACAGTACCCAGACTCCAGGTTTTACACAGTTGGATTTATATGGATCATCCCCATCTCCTCCTGGTTGAGGATGGGTGTTTCAGGGTGGGATGTGGGTTATTCCAGGATGCATCCAGGGACTGTGGTGATGTAGTGCTGGGATTCTGCTGTCCACCCATCATTCCTGTAGGCAGTTGGAGATGCCTTGGTACCCAGACCCATTCCCATCTCCCTCCAGGTTGGGGATCAGTGTTTCAGGGTGGGATGTAGGTCATCCCGGGATGCATCCAGGGACACAGTGACATGGTGCTGGGATGATGTTGGCTGGCTATCATCCCTGTAGGCACTGGGGGATGCCACAGTACCCAAACTCCAGCTGAACTTATTTGGAGCATCCCCATCTCCCTGCAGGTTGGTGATCAGTGTTTCAGAGTGGGGTGTGGGTCATCCAGGGAGGCATCTAGGGACCCATATAGTGACACAGTGCCAGGATGTTGGCCGCCCACCATCCCTGTAGGCAGTTGGCGATACCACAGCACCCAAACTCATCCCCATCCTCTTCCTGGTTGGGCCTCGTTGTTTCAGGGCAGGATGTAGCTGGTTTGGGCGCCCTTGGGTGGGTGCCACACACCATCCCGGCCCCAGCCATCCCTTCCCAGCCCCATCCATCCCTCTCCATCCCCATCCATCCCTCCCTGGCCAGGCTGGAGGTGCCAAGCCGCGGCACAGGCGAGCGTCGGGTTAACTTTATCAGAAGCCCAAGAGCCGTGAAGGCGTGAAAGAAGAAATTAGCCTAACAATGTTTCATTTACAGCGAGAGAAACGATTTGTTAGCTGGCGATTGTTTCTGAATATTATCAGAGCCTTTTTAATTGTGCTGGAACTGAAATTAGCAGAATTAGAATAAATTGCCTTCCCTTCTCCGGCAGCCTCTTTATTCACGCTCATTGTTGTCTGCTTTGTATAGATTATGGGCTCTTTGTTCTCCTGCTGTAAATATACATGCCTGGAGTCACGGAGAGCAGCTGAGGTCTGCAGACGGGGTGTCCCTGTGCCGATCCCGGTGCCGGCAGTGCCGGATAGGGCACTGGGCAGCCCCTGGCACTGCGGTGTCGCGTGGCACGAGCCATGTGTGCTGCTGGTCTGGCCTTTCTTGGCTGGGGATGCTGCGTTGCCATGGAAACGGCTGAGAGGGATGGCAGGGCTGGTGGGGTGTCCCCCGCATGCACCCCCTTGGCACCTTGTCTGTACCCTGTGTGTCCCTGCAGCATCATCTCCCTTGTGTCACCAGACAAGGGGTGTTGGGGACCATTTCTGGGGTCCCTTTCTGGGGCAGGTGACAGTGGGGTTTTGGGTGGGAGCGTGAGTGATACCGCATCTGTGTGGCTGTAGTACGAGGGAACCCCACTCTTTTCCCAGGTAGGTGTGGGGCTGATTTCCTGTGATGTCTGGGTGGGACCAGGCATCCCTCAGGATACACCTAGAGCAGAAGAGTGGCCACCTCTGCAAATCGATGAGGGACCCCAAGGACCTCAGGGATGACCAGGCAGAGGGTTTCCCTTGCCTTCGCTTCTCATGATGTGCAGAGCTGCAGGGCATCTCCTCCTGGCCCCCAAGGCACTGGCATCCTAATTTCCCAACTGGGGGTCTTTTCCCTGTGGTTCTTCCCCCTAACCACCCTCTCTGTGTCCCGACAGGTTCCCTGGCAGCGATGGAGGAAGGCGAGGACAGCCCAGTGGGGGAGAAGAGCCCCTCGGAGAGGGACGGGGCCACCTCGGACCACGAGGGCTCTGCCGAGCACGACTCCTCCAGCCCCCCCAGCAGTGAAGGTGAGTGAGGGGACTCCTCGTGGTGTCCCCACACCATGGGGACAGGCTCTGCCACCAGAGCAACGTGCTGGGCATGCTTGTGGCCTGGGCACCATCTCTGCTGGTGGGCAGGGTGGGAATTAACTAATGAAGTAGCCACCCACCCTGTGAGGCTGGTGATTTAGTGAGGACCCTCCCCATGTCCTTGGGGTGCTCTGACACTCTGGGCACCCTTAGGACCCACTGGGAGCAGCACAGACCCCAAAGTCATGTCCCTTGGGGTACAAAGTGACCCCTCCCAGGGATGCAAAGTGACTCTCTGGGGTGCAGAGTCCTATGTTTTGGGGTGCAAAGTTCTTCCTTGGGGTACAAAGTTCCTTCCCCCACCCAGGATGCAAAATAACCTCTTGGGGTGCGAATTCACGTCCCTTGTTCAGAATGACCTCTTGGGCTACAAAGTGACTCCTCAGGGTGCAAAGTGACTCCTTGGAGGAAAAAGTCGCATCCTTTTGGGGTACAGATTGACTCCTTGGGGTGCAAAGTCACATGCCTCGGGGTACTTCCCAGGGTGCTGAGCAGCCCCTGAGGCTGCAGGTGCTGGCACTGTCAGTGACACAGACGGGCTGGGGGCACGGGGCTGTGGCTCCTGCCTTCCTGCCCACGCTGCTGCCAAGCTGCCGCCGAGCCGAGCTGTGCCGCACCCCAAAGGTGGCTGCGATTCAGGGCCGGGCTGAAACAGTCCCCAGATATCCTTTAAGTTCCTTCCTGTGGAGGTGGGGGCAAATCCCAATCAGTTAATGTTTGCAGTGCCCTTTGAGATAACCGCACCAGGGCAAGGCTGCGCAAGCTCATGGAGCCACTGGGCCCCGGCACAGCCGCGGCTCCTGAAAAACCCCCGCTGCCTTCAACTGGTGGTGTCCCCCAAAACCAAGGGAGCTAAGCTACAATGCACCAGGGAGCCACACCAGCACCCTGCTATTGGGGCAGGGAAGGACCCCAATATTTGAGGCAGGGAAGGGATCCCAACAGCTGCGGCAGGGAAGGACCCCAGTAGCCAGGACACAGAGGAACCCTGCTATTTGAGACAGGGATGGGACCTGGTAACTGAGGCAGGGGTGGGCCAGGGCAGGGAAGGGACCCCAGGGGCTAGGACAGGGAGGGATCCTGATATTTAGGGTGGGGAAGGGACCCTAAAAAGTGGGACAGGGAGGGACCCCGATATTTGAGGCAGGGAAGTGACCCTTGATAATTGGGGCAAGGAGAGACCCTGATATTCAGGGCAGGGAAGGGACCCCAATACCCAGGGCAGAGAAGGGATCCTGATAGCTAAGGCAGGGAAGGGAGCCTGATAGTTGGACAGGGAGGAGACCCTGGTCACTAGAGCAGGGAAGGGACCCCGATATCTGGAGTGGGGAGGTCTCCTGGCAAACTTTACTCAGCAGCAGAGGAAGCAAGCGGCTCTTATCTGATGGGGGAGCCGGGAGCTGGGGCGCGGAGCTGCACCTGGCACTGGCCTGCCTCGATAAAGAGGTGATAGCAGAGATAACGCCGAGCAGCAATAACGGCCACTAAAGCTTTCAGCGCGATGGATAAAAATCGATATGCCAGGCACTTTGATTTATAGCCAAAAATAATAGGACTTTTATACCCGGTGATTGATTTATTTGATGTTAATCATTCCGCTTATCACCTGTATTAATAATCTCCAATGCTGGTGACGTCACCCCTGGGCGTTCGCGGTGGCGCCGATCGATTGGGCTCCGTGCTGGTTATCCGCCCGGGACGCCAAGGCAAACATGTACTTTGGGCACTAATCTTCCACACTGTCATATGCAGATTGGCTTTATCAGCCCATCTCCAGCAGCAGTTAATGGAGAAAATAATTGTTATCAAGTTGCTATGAATACGCCACAAATAGAGCCGTGATGGGAGCAGGGCTGAACCGGGTGACGTGGGACCGTGGCAGGATGAGAGGGAGGTGGCAGGTTTTTGGGAGGTGGGTTGGTAAATCCTTGGGGTGGATGTGAGGATGGACTTGGCTGGGTCATCCCCAGGGGAGGTGAGGGTTTGGACACTCGGTTAACCCCTTCCCTGTGCTGATCCTAGTCCTGGGGTGTCACTGGTCCAGTGGTCCCAATCTCCCCTGGGATACTGCCTCTGAAATTCCCTGCTTGTGACCTGCTGCCTTCCCCCTCCTGCTGCAGAGTCTAGAGACACTCCAGAGAGTCCAAAGGAGCAGGAAAAGCCAGATCCTGGAGAAAACCCACAGGAACTGGACACATGGAATGGGCCAGGTGAGTCCCTGGTGTGCGGCCGGTCATCCCACTCTGTCCCAGTATCCTGACTGGATTGTGGGCTGGAGCAGCTCTCAAGCATTCGTTTCTTGCAAACACCAGTATGAGGAGGACTGGTAGCTAAGCAGGCTGCAAACAGCAGCACTTCTGCTGGAGAGGAGGTGCAGGAGGTGTTTGTTGTCCCCCATGTCCCCAAGGTGCTGCTGGGACATTAAAACCCAAGCTGGGAGCAGCAGGGATACCATCCCCCAATCTGGCGTCACATTCACTGGCACAGGGAGGGTTTGGACCCATCCTGCGTCACACCAGGGCACTCTGCAAGCCTCCTGGCAACCACAAGAGCGATGCTCGCGTGGTTTCGTGATGGTTATCAAAACCCCAAGGAGCAAATTCAGTCTCTATCTCCCTGCCGGCATCTCTGCGCTGGGGCCGCTGGCACTGGGGCAGCCCGGCAAGGCCCAGTGTGCCCTGTGGGTACCCCGTGCCCTATCACCCCCTATCTCCAAACCCACAGGGTTACGGGGCTCTGCCACTCAGATTCACAGAATCACTGAGTATTTGGGGTTGGAAGGGACCTCTGGAGATCATCCAGTCCAAGGCAGGGTTACCTGGAGTAGGTGACACAGGAACACATCCAGGTGGGTTTGGAATGTCTCCAGAGAGGGAGATTCCGCCCCCTCCCTTAGACAGCTGTTCCAGCACTCTGCCACCCTCCATGGAAAGTTCTTCCTCATTTTGAGGTGGAACTTCCTGTGGTTTAGTTTATGGCCATTGCTCTTTGACTGGGGTTGTGAGTGCCTGTCCACTGGGAATAGCTCCCAGCAGGTGGATGGGGATGGAACTGGGGGGCTTGAAACCCCCAAGGGTGGATGTCCCAGATTTTGGGCCCTGTTGGTGTTGCCCACACCCTGCTCCTCCTTGGGGAGCTCCCAGCTGGGCGATGCCTTTGGATCTAGTTTTGGAGCAGTGCGTTGAGAAGGGGCGACCCCGATACAGAGCAGTGATTGCCCTGCGGTGACGGATGCCATGGGAAGGTCTCAGTGTGTCCGCAGGGCAAACAGCCTCCGGGGTGGGCTGGGTGATGGAGGAACCCTGGGAAGTGCTGGCTGCCAGCACACATGCTCCGGCAGCTGCCGAAATCCCCACGGCCCAGCATGGAGCCCTGGCCCTGCTCCCCCTTCCCGCCCCTTCCGAGGGGAAGCGCTCGCCGGCCCCGCTGACATCCCGGCCCTTCCTGCGTGCCGGGCAGGAAGGAGCTGCGAGGCCACCCCCGGCTCCTCCTTATCTGCTCCCCAGCCCTTTGCCCTCGGCACCGCCGTGCTCCTGGTATCCCGGTGCAGGGAGGGAGGGGGCTGTGACACCAACCCTATGGGTGCCCCCATTCCCAGGGGGATCACCAAACCACACAGCCCCTCATCCCAATAGCACCACCAGCCACAGGCTTCCAAAAGGAACCACAATGCCTCGGCTGTGGCCCTGGTGCCTTCCTTCCCCCCTCCCCTCACCGAGTGGGTTATTTGCATTCTTTATGTAAAAGAGATTTTATTATCACCCTCTCCCAGCCCATCTCTATTCTGGTAATTGGAGTGGTATTAATTTCGGTGTGGCGGGGAGTTGATGGCGGTCCGGCGATGCCGCAGCGATAGGGTGTTCCTTTCGCACCAACCGCCGCGATAGCCCGTCTATCAGGAGCTCTGCAGGCTCTGCACTTATCAGGGATGGAGCTGGCGAAAAGGGAAACTCGGAGCAGCCTGAATTTTCTTTTTTATCTTGCAAGATCCGCCGTGTGTCAGCAATGGCAGCTGCGAAGATGCAACGTGCAGGGTGGGGGACGGGGCTTCCTTTGTTCACCCTCCCGCCTTTCCCTGGTGATTTTTGGGGGGTCCCTGGGTCACCCCCGCTGTGGTTTGGTGGTCTGGGTCTCCCAAAGTGCTTTCCGCTGTGCTGGAGGGGATGTGACATTCCAGGAACTCACCACAGGGCTCCTTGGCCCCACATGCCAGGAGTGAGGAGGGTTTTGGTTTATCTTTGAAATGACCTTGTTCCCTGGAGGGGGCTGCAGCTTGCCCGGCTGATAGGCAAATTCCCAGGAGCTGGAGGCTCCAATCCTCAACTTGGGAGCCTTTACAGATGTGCCACCTCTTCATCCAGGGTGCTGGGACACCCTGACTCAGTTCTGCTTCCCAACAGGATCCCAGGATGGAGCACGGACATCCTTTGTGCTCATTCTGTCCTCTGGTGGTGCTGAAGACAGGATGTCCCTCCTCCCCAAATTCCCCCACACCATCCCAAATTCCCCCAAACCATTCCCCACAGCTCTGCCAGCCATGCCTCAGGTTTCCATCTTTCCCGCTCTTTTCTGTTTGTTCTGGAGCAGGGCCGGTAGCAGGAGCACCCACAGGCTCTGACTCCCATCCCGGGGCTGTCCCACCCCTACCCAGCCAACCTCACCAATTCCAGCCTGTTTTCCCAGGGGGATGAGATGAAAAGCTCCAACAAATTTCACATGAAGTTGGGGCAGGAATGGAGCAGAGCAGAGCCTCCATGAGGGACAGGCTGCTCAACCACATTACAAGCCACTGGAGAATTCCCACTGGGAGCTGCTGGGAGGCTGCACCCCCTGGAAACTCTGGATGGCTCTTGCCTTTCTGCCAGGTGGGATGAAGCTTTTTGCTTTTGTCCCTGTGGGAACACCATGGGCCTCTGATAGGGATAGGATGGAGGAGATGGGGCTTTTGCATTCTACCCTCTGGCTGTGTCCCACCACCTTCCCAGGGGATTCCTCACCCCCTTCCCTACATCGACTTCACTGTTTGGGCTCCACCTTGCTGAACCCCAACCTATGCTGCTGTCTTGCCTGTTTGGGCTTTATTTAATAATTAATTAATAATTATTAAATATTAATTTAATATTGATATTTACTCTGAGCAGTAATGATGGCTCTGGGTTAATTACAGTGCCCAGCAGAGGCACCTCTCCTCACCCCCCACCCTCTGTATGGGGTATCGGGAGGACACAGACCAACTCCTAGTTTTTTTGGTGCATCTAATTAAAACTCCAGACTCCTTTTTTTACCCCTTTCCCCCCACCTCCCCCTTCCCTTCTCCTCCCTGTCCCCTTCAGTTGTGTTTATCTGCGCCACGTCTCCTGCTTCAATAATCTCCGGCTGCCCAGAGTTTGTCTGGAAACCTCAAGGTTTATTATCGGGGTGAGCAGGGCACAATGAGGGGGGACAGCTCGTCCGGGCGGGGGACACGGCCCCCGCCACATCTGCCCCATCTCTCCCCCTTCCCCTCCACCCTGGTATGTGTGGGTGGGAAAAATTATTCCAGCTATTCCGTTTTATCGCTGGCAGCTGAGCAGCAGATAGTTGTGTTTGTGGTAGATTGCTGGGGGATGGGGGGAAGTTGGGATTCAGGGAATTAGCCCCTCAACCCTCCAAAATCAAGGGGTCCCCAGGACCCTGAAATCCCCCCCTGCCTGGCTTGTGTCCAGCAAAGGCATGTGCCAAAGGCAGAGGGATGTTTGGCATCAGGATGGGAATGATCCCAGCAGTGGTGGTGGCACTTTGTCCTGGATTTGGGACATGAAAGGGGACCTGTCCCTGCTGGGGTCTGTTTCCACAAGTCCCTGCCCTCGCAGGGTCTGGGGTTGTTGTAGGGTGGAGGGGACAGTTCGAGGACACTGATGGGGTGCAGGGATGCTCGGACTGGTCTGGGGACATTGTGCAGTGGAAGGATGATCAGACTAGTTTGGGGACTCTGCTGGGATGGAGGGATGCTCAGTTTGTTTTGGGAATACTGGTAGTGTGGGGAATACTCAGGCTGTTTTGGGGACACTGACAATGTTGGAGAAATCCAGACCAGCCTTTCCCAGAGCCCAACAGGGACATCCCTGTACCGGGCAGTGCCAGAGGCTGTTGAGAGGTACAGGCAGTGTCCCCCTCTCTGTCCCCATCCTCCTTTCCATTTTCCCTTGGGAAGGAGAAAAATACCTTGCACTCTTGTGGTGAGAGCCCTGAGGGAGATGCTGCCAGACTTGTGGTGATTGACAGGTGTCAGTCACTCACTGCCTTGCTGCTCTGCCCTGGGTGGATCTGAAGTCTGGTGGGTTTTGGGGCTTGGGACCCTGTCCTCTATCTGGGTACCCCTGGGGGTCCTCCCTTGCCCCCAGAGGCGCTTGGGGCTGTGACAGTGCCCCCCCCCCCTGGTCTCCTCCCCTTTTCCGAGGGGGATATCAACCCTCTGCATCGGCTCCAGGGGCCCCTTCACTCCCCTTCCTCCCTCTCTCAGCTTCCTGCCCCCCCCCCCCCCCCCCCAGTCCCAACCCGACCCGGTGCCTGGCACCAGCCTGGGCAGGGCTGGGTGGTCCCAGGACAGAGCAGGGACAGTGGGTCCCTGGCACAAGGATCCTGCCACCCTGGCAGCCCCAGGGAAGCCAGGAAGTTTTCCACCTTCCCATCTGTCCTGAATGCTTTCTGGTGTTTTTTCCCAGTGTTTATTTCTGTCCCCTGCCCTGTGGGCCGAGTCACATTTATTTCCTGGGATGGGGACTCCCTTGTGATGAGGACCCCTGGGGGGACAGGGACCACCTTGGGATGGCAGAACCTGGCAGTTTGGGACCCCTTGGGATGTGGTCCAGGAGTGGGTACAGAGCAGGGACAGATGGGCCCTGGCACAGGGGTCACACCACCAGGTGACCATCAGGAGGGAAGCCAGGAAGTTTCCCTCCTTCTCATCTTCCCTGAGCTTTTTCTAATCTTATTCCCAGTGTTTATGGGAACCTGCAGGCACAGGTCCCTTTTGTTTCCTGGGATGGGGACCTCCTTGTCATGAGAACTCCTGGGGATGGGGGCCCCTTTGGGATGGGGACTCCCTGGGGAAAAGGACCGCTTGGGATGGGGACCCTCTGGAGACAGGGACACCCTTAGAGCTCCATCCCAAGAAGGCACAGCAACACCCCAAACGCAAACGTCCCAGGGAGGCTTATCAGGCTGCATC